AGTTCCATGATGAGCTTGCCATCACCACCAGTGGCCATGTCAAATGGATCGACCTCGCCACCAGGAAAGAAGTCTCCTCACTCGGAACACTCGCCTACTAGCCAATCGCCAGCGACGTTCCCCTTCAGCAGTCATCAGTCGGCCAAGATCTGTCTCAAAGCAGCCATCAACATTTCACAATCCTTTGACGACCTACCGTACCCCAAGTCCGCTTACGGGCCGCAGTCCGACTACAGAGGATTGATCGCCGACACCCGCTAGTCGCGCGGCTCTCCCAGCAGGGACAGCAACAGACGAGACTACAACGGACGGCTGAACTTCTGCCAAGATGCGGAAGACCAGCGTTCCTTCAATCACAGTACCTGCCAAGCTCACAGGATCAGATAGTAGTTCAATGCAAAGAAGAGGCTGCGAAAGCTTTCGAGCGCTGGCTAAAGACAGTACCGGAAAGCCATATGATCGTCTTCTCGGACGGCTCCAGGGCGACGAACGGAGCCGTGGGGTACGGCTTCGTCATCTACCGAGACTCCAAACGCATAGCACAAGGGTGCGGCCGACTCGGACTAGCAGAAGTGTTCGACGCCGAGGTCGAAGGGGCGCGAACCGGCCTCAGAAGGGCTCTGCTCACCAATCGCGGTCATCCAATCCACATATGTATCGACAACACCAGCGTTATACAAGGCATCCGCGGCAAGGCGCCGGACTCGTCACAAGACGCGTTCCTCGAAATCCAAGAAGCGGCCAGGATATTTGATATACGGACGCACTGGTCCCCGGGACACCAGGGCATCGAAGGAAACGAGGCCGCGGACCGGCTGGCCAAAGAAGGAACGACACTGCCGGCGCGGATGGGTCAAATGGCAACACTAGCGGGCATCAAGCGGCTTGCAAGGGAAAAATTACAAAGCCAGCACAGGAGATGGTGGTATAAAGAGCGAAGGCCGCGGTACGCGGACTTGGGGCTTGAGGCAGCTCTGTCCAGCCCTCCTGAACTGGCCTTGCCGCGGGCTACGTTACATCACCTGCTGGCGGCACGATCGGGTCACGGGGACTTCGAGCAATATCACCGACGTTTCAACCACGACGACGCTCTAATGATGTGCTCTTGTGGAGAGGCGAAAGACGTGGACCACCTGGTCTACTGTCGACTAACGCTGGCGAGGAGGCAACGGTGGCCGACCCTCCACTCTCGCAGTATGCCCGAGCCCATAGGCCCTATGGGATCTCTCGAGGCCTACTTCAAGAGATTAATCACCGACCCACGAGGCTTCGAGGCCTTTCTCCGCGTGACGGACTTCTTCCAGAAGATCTGTCTGCGGTAGCAGCATCCACACCTACGTAGATGTGAGTGCGGACTACAAAGAACCTCCCGATTCCAAGGGACGATTTGGGAAAGAATGAAACTGGGGCACCAGCGGGAACCGGGGACAGACAGAACGCGTAGTGGCCACAAGGCATGATTTGGAGGACGATGTAAAGAGACGACGTACTGTAGAGTAGGTAGCCTTGGCTCACGGCCCTCCACGCCATATACCCTTCGGGAGGTCTGCGGTAAGGGCTCTAGCCCGGCCGCCACGGCGTTAAATACAACAACAACAACAACAACTACCGTACCCCAATCCCTTTGGTCAGCTATGCCCCGCCCCTTGCTATCTGGCACCCACATCGACCATCGTATGTCCGAGGACAATGCCCTCGTTCGCTTGCTGTGCTATGCAATGCGCGTACGCCTTGCTTATGGTCAATCACAAGACCAAGGCCATGTATCCGGAAAACGCACTGGCCACGCCGATGGTGGAAAGCCTCCTGATGCGACTGCAGACGGGGTTGGCCTCTATCTCGGCGACATTGGAAAATTATGCCACGGCGTTTGAAGCACTCGGTGGGATGCGCGGTAAGAAACCCCTCAAAACTCTTCAGGCTTGGCTCGCCCCTGGTCATTTGGCCCATTGCTTTTTCGTTGTTGCTAACGTCATGCTGCAGACCAAATTCGGAGTGTCATCGAACCCACCATGATGTTTGACGGACCGGTCCAGTAATGGCCCGATCGGCATTTCGCCTCCAGTTTAATCATCCCCAGTCTATCTGCAGACTGCCTCGCATCTCGCCGAGTGCCCGCATTTTGGTTTCTAACGGCATCTGACGACATCCCGATATGGGATCTGAACACGGCCTCTGGGTGGAGTCTCGGGAACGTCTGGGAAAAAAGGGGGGAGGGGGGGTTTTGCGGGGTTTGCTCACTTATCAGCAAAGACCGGAGATCGAGACAAGTCCGACATGCAACAAGCCGCAATCTGTGCGCCAATCTGAGGGGTATCGAACGACTGAAACGAAGTGATGCATTTGCTCCGAGGGCGTTGAGGAAACATTTAAGATTTTGTCATTTGCCATGATGGGACGACACAAAGTTGGAGCGACAGATTCCAACAGAGAATTCGGAGTTGGATCAGGAAATCAGAACACAATATTAGACTACTACCCCTCTCAAAAAATATTTTTACCACCTTCAAGATGCCCGTCTCCGGATCTCTGAGCAACGTGGACTGGTAAGAAGCCCGGTCGGCTTTTGCCTCGACACACACATTGCCACATGACGCTGATAATACTGGCCAACTAGGGAACCAAGCTTCTCCACGCTTGCAGTTCACGGTGGCCAAGAGCCCGACCCGGTCAACGGCTCCCGAGCTGTACCTCTGTACCAGACAGCTGCGTACAACTTTACAGATGCCGCTGGTCAGTTGTCTCTTACCATTGGACCGGTCACGCAATACATGTATACACTTACTGACGTTGGAGGAATGCAGATGGCGCCAGCAAGTTCGCATGGAGCAAAGATGGCTACGTCTACACGCGCATGGGTAACCCGACCAACAGCGTCTTCGAGACGCGCATGGCGATGCTCGAGGGTGGCGTCGGCGCCGTCGCCGCGGCGTCTGGCCACGCTGCGCAGTTCATGGCGCTGACCAACTGCTGCGAACCCGGCCAGAACTTTGTCAGCACCAGCTGGCTGTACGGCGGCACATACAACCAGTTCCGTGTGTACATGAAGAAGTTCAAAATCGACGTCAAGTGGGTCGTCGGCAACGAGCCCGCCGATATTGACGCCGCCATTGACGAGAACACCCGCTGTGTCTATATAGAGACGATTAGCAACCCAAAGCACAGCGTCCCGGATATCAAGGCCATTGCCGATGTGGCGCACAAACATGGCATCCCGCTTATTGTCGACAATACCTTTGGCATGGGCGGGTACCTCTGCCAGCCCATCAAGCAGGGCGCCGATATCGTGACACACTCTGCTACGAAGTGGATCGGCGGCCACGGCACATCAATGGGCGGGATTGTCATCGACGGCGGCCACTTTGACTGGAGCGCGTCAAGCAAGTTCCCCGGCTTCACGGAGCCTGCGGACGGATACCACGGGCTGAAGTTCTGGGAGACGTACGGGTACAAGGCGCTCTCTGCAAAGGTGCGGATGGACAGCATGCGTGATCTGGGACCGTGCCTGAGTCCCTTCAACGCATGGCTCCTGCTTCAGGGCTTGGAGACGCTCGCGCTGAGAGGAGAGAGGCACGCCGAGAACACACAGAAGCTGGCCGAGTGGCTCGAGGCGCACCCTAGCGTCAACTGGGTGCTGTACCCTGGCCTCAAGTCGCATCCTGACTATGAGTACACCAAGAGGGTGTTTACCAACGGCGCTGGCGGTGTTCTGACCTTTGGCGTTGTAAGTTGACTCCTGATGACAGTCCTAACTTGCAAGTAGTCGCTAACCATTCCCAACACAGGCCGGAAACATTGAACAAGTCCGCTCCGTCGTCGACAACCTTAAGCTCTGCTCGCATCTCGCAAACGTCGGCGACGCAAAGACGCTCATCATCCACCCCTGGGTGACGACGCACCAGCAGCTCCCCGACGAGGAGAAGATCAAGGGCGGCGTCACCCCGGACCTCATCCGCGTATCGGTGGGCATCGAAGGGTTCGAGGATATCAAGAGAGACTTTGAGCAGGCATTTGACAAGGCCGGCTTACCCGCGGCGACTAAGACCGGCGGTGATCCGTTTACCAAGGCGCTGAACCTCGTTTCGGGCGGGTTCATGGGCAAATCGTCGACTGGTGCGCCTAGGCCTGGGACTGATGGGACTATTTCTGTTGAGGCTTGAGGGGTGTTATGGGAAGCGTGGCTATGGAAGGTTCTTTGGTTTTTATATCAAGGCGTGCCGGGGGGTTGGTGTAGATGGGTTCTGTGTGCAGGGACTACGGTAGATACCTAGATGAGATGGTCGCTGAGAGCAGCAATGTGATGATATTCCAGTCCACTTGGGAAAGGCAGTTGGATTCATTCCAACTAGGTGAACCTCTATGTGCAGTCTTGAGAGTGATTGGTACCATCAGCCCTCGTGAACGTGGAGAGGAGGCCTTGGATCGGGAGTACGGGATGATCTTGACCGGCGCTACCTTAGATCGGAGCTCTGTATGTGAGATAGCACGGCTTTGCGTGTAGGTTACACCTATGTAGGTTTGCGATGAATGTGCCGGTAGGTGTTACACTGAGGTATCACAGCATCCACAATCTTCTGTTGCGACTTTTTCGGGTGGTACCTCAAATATGAGTAGCCATGGAAGGCGCGGGCAACGGGCATAGACGCTCGCGAGATGGTGCCTGCCTGCCATGGCATGCTGTGATACCCCTCTGTCCCTCTGGTGCCCCGCGTTCCGTCACCTTCTTCCGATTACATCATCAAGCGCAACCTAAACACAGTCATTGAAACTCAACGACACCTCATGTGCATACCTACTTCAGAACATCGTTGATTCAAATCCCTCTTAGAAAAGCATCAAATCAGTCTTCTCGTAACTCCGAAGAAAAGCAATAACCCCAAAGATTCCACTACGTACTAAGACACGGCAACTCCGCGCGCCCGTACCCCGGAAGCTGACCATGGGCTTCATACCGCCTCACATCCTCAAGGCCAAGGCCGCAAGCCAGGACGTCTCTGCTGAAGAACGGGAGGCGTCGCAAAGAACGCTGGACCTGGATGGTGCTAGGCGCGCGGAGAGGGAGGGGAAGGGTGGTGATGGGGAGAAGGGGAAAGCGAGAGGTGGTAGTGCGAGTTCGACGGAGGCGAAGGAAGGGCAAGAGAAGGGCGGGGAGGGGAGGGAGAAGTGATGGCTGGGGGAAAAAGAAGGTTATCGCTATCGAAATTGGAATGCTACCCGCGACTGGACGAGATCTTTGATGGCCGCGAAGTGTCGGAACGAAGAACACCTTAATACTGGACCCCGAAGAAAGAAACGAGACAGGGAGCGGGGATCAAGATCAGGGCATGTATGTGGAAAGTCCCTCTTGCTTGTTAAGACCAATGGCAACCACAACAGCCGTCTACCTTGACCAACAAATACTACAAATCGCATTCCTTATTACACTGAACCCTTGAACAAGAAGACCTGCCATCACGGGCTGACGGGTTGACAGGTGCATGGGCGATCTCGGGATGATGGGAAACGCGCATGTCACTGGCATTCTTTCGTCTCAAAATTCCCCAGAAAATCAAGCTGGTGTGCCAGGAACAGACCAACCTGACTTAACACACAGAATAGGTAAGAACAGAGATCCACTCACCGCCCAACCAACCGCAGCAGACCCAGATTTCGCATCTGACCAACACGTCGAGAATCAGTCGATGCGAAAAAAGAGCGGCGGACCCTTGCATTGCGGAAGTTCTCGGTCCCGCCGGGGGCAGGTCGAACACTGAAGACTTCCAAAAATCACACGGTCGCACCGGCATCCTGCGGCGGATCGATCCTAGGCCAACATCCAGGGACACCCGATTGTGACCCCGCTACATATTCCCGCGGTGGATCCCGTCCGTCTGCCTGGATCCCATGCTGCCCCCGGCCAGCACCCAGCGCCCAGCGAGAAAGTGGTGCGACTTTGGCACGAACGAGAATATCAGACCACCATCGGCCGGTGTCCTTCAGCCCGACAATAGGACTGCACCACGCGAGACCACCGGCCATCAGATCATTGAGTTCTTCTCGGCGCATGATGACGCAGGGAGAGAGGTTAGGTTTTGCGAAAGAAATATCGTCCCTGTCAATGGCTGTTGGGATGGGGATCCCCTTTCTCGTTCAAATATCGCGGGGTCCCCTTTTTCTGACGCGTTTGAAAGAGGATTTAAGAGGGACATTCAAGAGAACCATTCACGTTTCGAGCATTACCAAATCGACAAGACGACGATCACCAGTGTTTAAAGGACTCGGCAGCTTTTGAGTCAAGTGTTTGTACCGATACATTCGAGGGATTTGACTAGCATTGGGAGACCTCAAACACCACGAAAGAACACCACCAATCTCATCCCCGCCAATAGCGAATAACACCGCCAACATGGGTCTCATGAGACACATGAACCACATCGACCGCGAGGAACTCTACACAGACCTCGAAGCCCGCATCCGCTACCTCCACAGCTTCCTCGACTTCAGCAGCAGTACGTCTCAAACTTTCACAGTCTAGAGTGGAACACACAAACTAACCAAACCCGCCCACCCAACCAACAGAAGACATCGAAGCCCTCATCAACGGCGCAAAATACGTCAAGGCCCTCATCCCTGCCGTCGTCAACATCGTCTACCATAAGCTACTACAGTACGACATCACCGCCCGCGCCTTCACCACCCGCTCCACATCCTTCGAGGGCCCCATGGACGAGGTCCCCGACGACAACTCACCGCAGATTCTGCACCGCAAGATGTTTTTGAGGGCGTACCTCGCCAAGTTGTGTTCTGATCCGAGTAAGATGGAGTTTTGGGAGTATCTTGACAAGGTTGGGTATGTTGTTCCTGTCCTTGCTGCAAAGACTTGGATACCACACCAAGCAGAACACACCCCCCCCCCAAAAAAAGAAAGAAAGACCAAAAACTGACGACACAACACAGAATGATGCACGTAGGCCTAGGCCGCAAACACCCCCTCAACGTAGAATACATCCACCTAGGCGCCTGCCTCTCCTTCATCCAAGACATCATGACGGAAGCCATCCTCTCCCACCCGCGGCTGGTGATGCAAAAGAAGATTGCCCTAGTCAAGGCCCTGGGCAAAGTCATCTGGATCCAAAACGACCTCATGGCAAAGTGGCACTGTAAAGATGGCGCAGAGTTCCAGCGCGACGGCGACGAGGAAGGGGAGGGGATCGAGATTGAGGAGGAGGGGTATCTTCATGGGAGGAAGATTTTGGAGAGTGAGAGTGATGAGGAGACTGCTGTTAATGGGGTTCCTGGTGGGAATGGACCGAAGTCGCCGAGTAGGTTACCGACACGGAGGCCGCATAGTCCCGGCAGCGGTGGTGGTGTGTGTCCGTTTACGGGGATTTCAGCAGGTATGGAGGGGATGAAGGTTTCTGAGGGCAAGACGGAGAAGGAGGAGGGACCGCAAAAGGTTGAGGCTTCTGTTTAGATCCATGTCGGGAGGGGTTTTGTGAGGGGTTTCTTTTGCATTGCTTGGGTGCATGGTTAGATGGCGTTTGGGGGTGTATAGCAACAGGTCTCGGTTCAACATTGACGACTTTTACGGTTCGACTTCTGGTGGCATGATATGACTGCACTTTACTCGAGAAGGGACTGGAGTACGGGGAGAATCTGCATGTAAGTGAAGGGGCTATCCCCTTAGCCTGTTTACTTCTTGTTCCTAGTCCGAATTATCCTACAGAATCTCGCGTCGCCAGCGAAGCAAAGTCCAAGCCCACCCAAATCATGGCCTATGGAAACATCATGATAACTGATCCTCTTGCACAAGCTCGAAATCTCGGGTCCATATGAACCACCAAAGTCCATGCCATTCCAAACGTCCTCACAGCTGAAAGTCTGGCCCCTCCGTCCGACGACGCTTCTTTCCCTGATAGACGGACACGCGTCCAAGCATACCCTCCATGTTGCCTCTCATATCTTCCAGCTGCTTCTCCAAGCTCACCGTGTACGCCTCCTTAGCATTCGCCGCGTTCATCTTCTCGGCGCACTTCTTCGCCAGCGCCTCCACCTCGCTCCTCTCTGCATCCATCTCTGCTTTTCTGGCGTTCACCTCGGCCTTCTCAGTCTGCAAATCGGACTTCATGACTTCCATGGCCAACTTCATCGCGTTGAGCTTGCTCTCCATGTCGCTCGCTTTCTCGTTCGCCAGACGGGAGATCTCTCGCTGATGCTGCAACTCGCGCATGGATACAAGGCGTTCGTCTCTAACTGCGTAGCCACTGCGCGGGGTGTATGGAGTGGCATGTGATCGTTGTTGGAGGCACAAAATTTCGCCGTGGAGCCGCTGGGTGAGGGCATCCTTGGCGCTGATATCTTTCTTGAGCTGCTCGATCTGATTCAAATGCGTAGCGGAAGTCTGCTGGAGATTCTGTTGAGTTTCAGCGAGCGCGGCTTCGGTGCGTCTGTCACGTTCGTTCTTCACTTCCATATCACGCCAAAGCTCGGTGACCTTGGCGCGGCTCTGCAGAAGCTCGTTGTCTAGCTCAGTGAGTTGTTCAGAAAGTCCTCCCCTGATCTTGATCGCCTCTTCCTTTTCTTTCTCAAACTTGGCCGTAGTTGCGTTCAGTTCCACGTTCGCTTCTTTGACTTGATCAACTGCCATCGTCAATGCCTCGATGTGTTCACCCTGAGACTGAGTCTTGCCCTCCAGCTTACTCAACTTATTCTCCACTCGCTTCTTCTTGCGGTCCATCTTCTCCATCTTGGCCGCAAGCTCGGCGTTACTGTCATAAAGAGACTGCCTGCTTTCAAGGAGAGTGTTTCTCTTGCTGATGAGCTTCTCATTTTGCTCACTCAGAACCTTGTTCTCTGACTCGAGCTTCTTGCTGAGGTTAGCTAGTTCTTTGTCTCGGATACTGCAATCGTGGATCTCGGTCTCAAGTTTCTTGTTCTTCTTGCGGAGGTCGCTGATGAGAAGCTTCTGTTCTCTGATTTTTGCCGCATGGTCCTTCTTCTCCTTTGCAATACTTGATCTCTGACCGCGCATATGGGTCACTTCGAGCTGCATGTTCTCAATTGTGGCTGACTTTTCGGCGTTGTCCTTGTCCAGTTGGATGTTTCGTGCCCGAAGAGCTTTTGTCTCGATGTTGATTGCTTGCAAGTCATGTCGCAACGACACAACCTCATCGGCGAACTGTCTCGCGCGCTGCAACAGCTGCTCGTGGGGAATGCTATCAAATCCTTTGAGAAGTTTTTGGGTTCCGTTGCCGAGTCGTATCTGGTTCTTCTTGTTCGGCGTAACTTCCGTATTCATGGGCCGAGCGTTCTGCTGCAAAGCCTGAGAGTTAGTTGATGCGTTCGCCGTGGCCTCTTTGTATAGCTTTCTCATGACTACTGCATCCTGCTCGTAAGCTTTCTGGATAATCCGGAGTCGAGTCGTTTCCCACGTTCCTCGTGACGTGGATGCAGACTTGTCAGGGTTGGTGGACTCCTTGTCGCAACAATGTTGGTAAACCTCGCCACCACTTGTAACAGGGTACCAGTACAAAAAGGGCGCTCCGGGGAACTTTTGGTCTGCTGACATTGGGTGAACATTACATGCTAGCGTAATGACATACCCATTCCGACGCTCGTCTTGATTGTGGCGGGCGATGACAGTGATGGCGATGATGTGCACTATCTCGTTGTCTTCGCGCATAATGTCGATGACGAATCGCCATTGTTCGCCCGTGATCCTGAAGGTACTTCCTTCGCCTCTGTACAAGCCAAGCAGGCCACAGAGTTTCTTGGAGCCATTGGCGGGAAAGCCGTACATTGCGTTGAGGTGGTTTAAGACGCCACGCCAAAGATGATTGGATTTTTCCTCGATTTTTAGACTCATGGTGGCGATGCGATTTAGTCTCAAACTCATTCAGCGCCAGGGACCTGAGCGGAGTGTTTGAGACAACTTGAGGGTGAGGCGAAGTGAGCCAAGTGGGATCGGGAATTGCGACAGTGACGAAGACTCGAGAAACGACACTGAAATGAGAGCGACTATGCGGGAGCAATGTGTGAGAGAGGAAAGAGTAGAGAGCAAAGGAATTGCAGGACGGCGCGGTATCTGTGAAGAAAAGCCAAGAAAAATCCTGCGAAGGGATGTTGTCGGCACCTGGAGCGGGGAGAAATGTCAAGTCTTTCGGGAGGTGGAAGAAAGAAAGAGAAGATCCGAATTCTAGCAAGAATTTAGGCAGGTAGAAGGCGGGTGGACCGAGGGAAGGAGCGACCTCAACTTCAGGAGGGCAGGAGGGGAGGGGAGAAGGGGGGGGGCGATGCACCTGCCTTGGGTGCGGCGGTCGTGACTGCCTCAAGGAGATGGATGTCAGCCAAGGCAGGTGCGTATTTCACGACCTGGCTTCTTTCCTGATTTCACCCTGTCTCTCAGCATCTTGATACTTCCAATACAATATGACGGGTGTTGTCTGAACTCGCACATCCCCAAACATTCTATCATGACCTGTCTCCAAGCTTTATCCCCCTACTTTCGCGGTTGAAGCCAACTTGAAAGGTGGTCAAGGGAGATCTCGCGGATACGAAAGTCACGAGGACCTTCGACGAAGCCAACATCTCGACCTCATTATCCACCAAAAGTACGCGGGCCCCTCTGCATACATGTCGTCACGAACCTCAATCACGCTCGGTTCCAACATCATCGTGCCGCCTCGCTCGTCTCAAGTCCGACCTAGACAGCCGATCCAGCTGAACGCATACTAGTACTGAGCACGATCTTCGTGGATGGCATCGCCGCGATGGACTCATACACACTCATGAGTCGGCCCGTGGGGTACGAATTAGGAAGGGGAGGTGACATCCACTGGGCGTCTGGAACCTCGGGTAAAGGGGCCTGTCCATAAGAGTTCCCGAGATAGGTATCCGGCAATTCACTGCGTCAGAGATAAGCTCCAAGCCGGGTTCGCAAGGTCAACGCTCACCGACAAGAATTCTTGAGAACCATCAGATGCCTCGACCAGATGCGCGCGGCGGTCTCGGCTCCGCCCCTACTGGCTCGAGTCGCCCAAACTTCAAACTATTGAGCAACCCGAGCGTCGTCAATTCCATGGACTGGGAGTGTCATCGACAACCTTAGATACCCGAGTGGTGCTAGAGCCTACACATAGGGGAAAAGGATACAACACTGATTAGCAACAAATTAAATCTGGCGTGTGTTCGAAGTCTCTGCTCTACGAGATGTATCTCTACCATGCCCCATCTAGAGCGCCAACCCATGCAATCATTTATAAGTACTGTACAGTTTACATTACACATTCGGCGCAAGGAGATCGTATTTAACGCAACGTTCGACCTGAGGGTCATTAGCAAGCGTAGACCAACATCACAAACGGGGGCACTACTCACATCCTCAATACTCGCCTGCAAGAACCGCCGGGTCTCCAGGCCAGCCCACACAACCAACATGCTGAAATCACCATGCTTCGCCATCTCGGCACCGCTCTGTGCGCTCAACTGTCGAAGAATGGGCAGAGAGCTGCTCAGGAGATCCATGTCCGGGTTCAGACTGCGCCCAATACCCTCGAGCAGCAAGATACTGATGACGACGTTGACGAAATCACCCTCAAGGCGAACATGGTGACCACGAACCATACCCAGAACCTCCTGCAAGATGTCTCCAATCTTGATGTTACCCAGCGCGAGGGTCCGGCTCTTTACGCCGAGGACAAGGTGCTGCATCTTGAGCGCAAACACCTCCTTATCGAGCACGGCGTCAGGCTGGCGGCAGCGCTCGCACATGAGATTACCGGCTTTGTACCCGTCAAACTCTGCGACGGCACGGAAGAGGTCGAGGAAATTGGTGCGGTTCGTCTCGTTAAGCTCCGTCACCAGGCCCGTGTCGATGAAGATGAGCTGCGGGCGGTAGCCTTCGTTGTCAATCTTGCGTAGCTCGGCCGCCCAGGCTGTGGGGTCCTTCCTATGGCGGTAGGGACGCAGGCGCGCGAGGACTTGCTCTGTGACGTCGTCTTGGTCTTCCGGGTGTTCCTTGGCGTGGTTCCTGCGGAACTTGAGATCCGGCTCGTGGGATTGGTAGAAGCGGACCATGATGTTGCCTGGGTGCAGATCGGCGTGGACAAAGTTGTCAATCAGAAGCATGCGTAGGAAGGCGTCGAGGCCCTCAGAGGCGATATCGTGCTGGAAGACGCCGCCGCCGTTCTCCATGAAGTCGGCCAGCGGGATACCCTGCGCGAATTCCTCAACCAGTACGTTGCGGGTGGTGAACTCTGTGTAAGGGTATGGGAACCATGCCGTCGTGCGGTCGGTAAAGTTCTTGCGGAACTTGGCTAGGTTGGCGGCCTCGATGCGCAGGTCGAGCTGAAGCTTCATCATCTCACCAAACTGCGCGACCTCATCGGGGAGGGAGAGCCATTCGATGGTGGGTATGATATTGAGGGCTGAGGCGAAGAAGTGCATAATACGCAGGTCTCGACGGACGGTCCTCTCGACGCGAGGATGTAGAACCTTGACGGCGACGTAGGTGGAGGGGACCCTCTTAGGCGTGCTCTTGAGGGCAGCATCGACATTCTTTGCGACCTTGTGACGGAGCGGCCTAGGTTCTTTCGGAAGATCTGAGTCACCAGGGCCGGCGAGGCTGGCCTTGAGCTTGGCCCGGTAGACCTGGGCGATGGCGCCTACGCCTAGGGGCTTCTCGTCAAATTCTTCGAAAATGTCGTTGAAGTCGCGTCCGTCAAAGGCGGCAGAGACGATGCGCTTCGTGTCGTGCATCGAGTGCGCCGGGGCGTTGGAGTGCAGTTTGGACATGATTTCGCACATTTCGTTGGGGAAGATATCGGAGCGAGAGGCGGCCCATTGACCGAGCTGCGCGGTATTAGTGACATTGCCTTCGTTTGCAATTGAGGTTGATCAATGGGCATTACCTTGATGAAAGCTGGGCCGGCCCACTCCATGGATTGGACCAAGAAGCCGTACCACCATAGCGTGCCACTTCTCTCGTTGTCGCGATCTTTCTGCCGTCTACCGATCCACAAAGCAGGAACGGCTACAATGACGGGGACGAAGATGACGAGCAGATGGAGGAACCGCACGCCCGTGCATAGGGGCTCCCAGATATAGACGTCAACAGCAATCTTCAGCGTATGCCAAGCTCTTGAAATCCCACTATCGTCGTCGGCGACCTTCTTCTTGATCTCGGCTCGGCTTACTTCCAGCATGCGCTTCTCGCCCGTCTGGTCGGTGCCTCCATTATCCTTCTCCGAGAGCTCGAAGAAGGCGGCTGTGCCGAGGGCACCGGCACCAGCACCGCCGGCTCGGAGGGTATATTTCGTGTATCGACCGCGGTTACCGCTGCTGTCGCTTCGCCATGGTATCCGTCTCGGCTGGTGGTGGGAGCTCCGGAAGGCGCTCCTGAATGTGGAGTAGAATTGGGCGGTGCCGTTCGACGCTGGCGCTCGGAAGCCGGGGCGTGGACAAAACCGGCCCAAGACGAAGACCAGTCTCATCTCGAGGGAGGATCGGGGGTTGCTGATCGGAGGACCGGTATCATGTTCTCAGTGTCGAAGGGTGGGGGAGAATGATGAGTTAGGGGATGGGAGAGGAGGAGGGACGGCGCGGGAAGGGAGGTAAAGTCGCGCGGCGCCCAGGATCGCAGGATCGGTGACGACGGGGGCGACGGTCGAATGCGAATGGAATAGGGCGTTTTTGGTGCCATTGGTGGTGACGTAGGGATTTTTGGTGGCACCCGACAGGTGGGTAATGAGGTACCTTGGCTGTGGCGGGGAATCTTCGGGGGATCATGTGCCACTGGGTCAATGACACTCCCATTTTCGGGTCCTTTTCTTCGCTGGTTTGCAGTGCCGCAGCATTTGGTTAGGTACCTTACAATGAACGGGTTTAAGTCGGAAAGCTGTCGCGGGTCCGTCCGATGGCGACAACGCCTGCACTGCTGTTCTGCAGGGGATGTTTTTTTTTTCCTCAGTGGGCTACGGGCAAGGGACAGCCACTGCGGTTCCGTCGATTACGGATGCTAAGAACCCACCGTGGAACCTCGCCGTTCAACTGTTTCTTTATCCGCGCCCTTTTTTTTTTCTCTTATCGTCATCTCTGTCACCCAAACCGTAAATCTTTTTTCTCCTAAGTTCCATTCGCGATACCTTCAACCACTTCACCATTTCACTCGTGTACTGTCGCGTCCAACCTGCCTTCTTGTACAATACCTTACTTGCACTTATCACTTTATCTACTTTACCTAATTTCTCCGACTGTACATCATGGGTTGGTTCTGGGCCGATGCTCCTGCGACAACCGTCCACGCGACATTCGCTTCGTCGCACCCTCATGGCGCCATCCCGTCCGGCTCTCCTCCTGTATGTCCAAACACCAATCCAAGCAAAACCTACCACCAGCTAACATCTCCCAGCCCAGCTGTCCGATGCACCAAAAGTCCGCCGATGCATTAACCACGACCGCGAAGCCCGTCGCACCCGCTCCTCCCTCAGCCTGCCCAGTCCCCCACGATCAGCGCCACGCCGCAGCAGCAGCTCCTCCTCCTCCCTCAGCATGTCCCGTCCCCCATGACCAAAGACACTCTTCGGCTGCCGCACCGCCAGCATCATGCCCGGTACCCCACGACGCACCAAAGCCCGCCGAATCCAAGGGCTTTCTCCAGCAGATCAACCCCCTAAACTACATGTTCAAGGACCTCTCTCAGGAGGCTGCCGAGAACCAGGCCGTCGCGCTGCCAACGGAGAGAGAGCCCTCAACAATACCCAGGGGCTCTGGCGACGGGAACTGGGAGTACCCTTCGCCTCAGCAAATGTACAACGCCCTTCTGCGCAAGGGATACACCGATACCGACATCACCGCCGTGGAGTCCATGGTCTCTGTCCACAACTTCTTGAACGAGGGCGCTTGGGCTGAGATTGTCAGCTGGGAGGAGCGTTTCGGCAAGGGTCTGTACAGGGGCTGGCAGTCCTGCAAGCGCGGCGAGGAGAACTCGGAGGATATGGTTGAGAGGTTGAAGGACGGAAGCGAGACGCCTCCGACGCTCATCCGGTTCCAGGGACGGCCAAAGGATATGACGCCCAAAGCTGTCATGTGGCAGGTTGCCGGCTGGCTCTACCCATCCAAGTTTGAGTGCGATCCGTCCACTTTCACAACACCGTTGAACAGATGCTAATGTGCCTACCCCCAGAACCGAGCCTCCCTTTGACCGACACGACTGGTTCGTCTCTCGCAAGGTCGGCGGCGTCGAAAAGGAGATCCGATACGTCATCGACTACTACTCTGGCGAGCCCGAACCCACCGGCGAACCCGTCTTCTACCTCGACGTCCGACCCGCCGTCACGCCCCTCGGTGCGGCGGAGCGGCTTATCAGATGGGGAGGCGACGTGTGGTGGCGAGCTTCTGGCGCCGAAGTGCGTGAGCAGGAGCAGCTTGCGAAGCAGGTGGGGCAAAAGTAAAGAAATACAAGGAGCGACGAAGAAGCGAAGAACAAACGACGGCGAAAACGAAATAAAGTTACCGGGATGAGAAGTAGGCAGGCTTCATTTTCTGCTTGCGGCGTGTATAACTTGGGAGGCCCGATATGGTTGATTTGGACGGGTTTCCCACTCGACGGCGGCGTTTGACACGATACAACGGTTCGATTACTTGGGAATGAATGAAGAAGAACACCCCTTCTTCTTCTTCTTTTCCTCTACTTCCCCCACTCCTCATGTTTTTAATACTATGCCTGTAATGGCCTGTATAGTACGCCCAGAAAGCGGCATGTATTCAACCTATTTTTCAACGTTGAGACGAGACGAAACGGATGGAAAAAAGAAGATTTGTTTTCCAATTCACATTACTTCCACTACTGACTTGGCTGACGTCCCAAATTCTGTCTTTTTGACAAGACAAAAGTACACTCTTTCCACCACGTACAGATTAAGTGGTCTTGGCAGCAAGAGCAGTAACCTGGTCCAACAAAGCCTTACTCTCCTTGGGCGCATTCTTCAACACCTTATCTCGCAAATGATCAACCTGCTGCCCCGCCGCCGCAGGCGGGTTCCCCTGCGCCGTCTGGATCCTCGAAACCTGCATCGACAAGAAGAACTTGGGCACCTTGATGCCCAGATTACCGCCCACGGACCTGATTCCAGCCTCGGTGGCCACGTACGCATCCAGCTCGTTCTGGAACTTGGCGAGGTCGTTGGAGGCCAGGGGTTCCGTGGTGGCGAACTTGTCGAGGGCGAAGGCCAGGGGTGTACTGGAGGAGTCGGCGAAGTTGATGGAGGAGAAGGTGACGCCGCCGGCGGAGACGTCTGGGACGTTGGAGAGCGTCTTTTTGGAGGCGTCGCAGGTGATTTTGGCCTCGAGGGAGGCAGCTGCGTCGGAGACTTCTTGGGGGAGGACGGTGTTGCCTACGATGAAGCAGGCGTTTTGGCGGGGGGCGAGTTGGGGGGCTTTTTGTTGTGGTGATGTTAGTTTCTTGGTGTTTTTTTGGTGTAGGTGAAGATGGTGGGGACTCTGGACTTACCTGCGAGAGCGGCGCCGGCGCTGGCGGCGAGGACGGCAAGGGAGAGCTGCATCGTGATACGATTATGGAGTAGTCTGACACAAGAGAGGTGGTCTTGGAAGTAATGCAGAGTTGGAAACGAAACGAAGCGAATGCCTTTCCGGAAGGACTGTAAGTAAAAGTAAAAAAGAACGAATAGGTTATGATTAACTGCTGCTATCTCAGAAACAAAGACAACTCGAGGCGGGAAAGGACCGGACATGATCGCCTTTTAAGCATCACATCAATCTTGAATCACAAGGGGAAGAGAGCAGGGGGGTGTTGCGGCTGCGGTGGGTTGCTTGGCAAATAAGCATAGGGCCGGTATTAGACTCCTGTGCCTGGTATGTTGGATCGGTGTCCCCAGTTCGAGTCTAAACATCGCCAAAACTTGCTCTTGGGTGTTGCTTGTCCCCTGCTCCATTCCTCTGGGTTCTGGAAGGGGTGACTGGGGGGGACTCAACTTACCTTTCACTCAGGCCTACCTACCCATCATCCCAGGTCATCTACACTACAGGCAGTGACAAGAGAGAACAGTAGCTAGGATGCCGAGCCCTGTCAGCGCTCAGCATGGAGACAAAATTCTCGACTGCTTCGGATGAAGGGTGCCGGGGAACGAAGAAGGAGGAGGGGAAGATTTAGGTTGGCATAGTCTCAAGGAGTCCGCGCGAAGCGTGTATTCCATGCCGAGGGAGGCTATACCTAGCGACTTACCTGTACGCAGATGTCCAGTTGAACCGTGAACATGGCCATATTTGCAGAGAAGAGGGCAGACAAGACTGACAAGAGTCCAAAAAGAGAAGGCTCTTGTAACAATCCAAGTATCAGAGGCCAGTCGGCTCGTCGCTCGATGCGGTAAGGTTGTCCCTGACGGCCTACTTTTGAGCCGCTTGTGTCTCGGGCTATTTTATGGTCCCCCCCCCTACCCCTACCCCATGTCTCTCCATCTGAATAAGAGACCCGATGACTTAACATGGTCTCTAGCGACAGACATGACAGGCCAACTCAAACCTTGAAATGGGAAGAGAGAGAGAGAGCCTGGGAGGGAGTTTGGGTTGGTGGGTTGATTGGATGCGAGACAATGGTGGGGTTCACCTCGTCTTCTTCTTCCCCTTCGCTTCAGATCCGAGGAGGCCCCCTGGTCCCTGTCTCAACCACAACACCAGACGGGATGGTTTCAGGGTTCGTTGAGCCACCCAATAGCGAAACGGCCAACGGGGATCATAGATGTTGCAGAGTTGGGAATCGCGGCGCGGGTTGCGACGTCGTGGGAGAGCCTCCATTTAATTTTGTCTTGGGAGGCTAGGGTGAGTTTGTTGTATTTCTTCGTATTCTCTCCCCTTCGTCGCTCAGTGTGACGCCATCACCCCCGACTGTAGAGGGAGATGCGGCTACTGTCATGGGGGCTTGGCTTCGGGACGTCGGCCGAGGAGGGAGCTTCTATTGAGACGTGAGCGACATATTGGTCCGCTTCGAGTGATGATTTCCCTGAGCTTGCAACGTTGGAGATGAGGAGGGATTTGGCTCGATGCTCCGGGTCGCGCCTAGCGATCTCCAGTTCCAACGTTGGTTAGAGACTTCACGAGCCTTTTGCGATGACAACTGGTTCTCGCAGAGATGCAACAGGATTTCTTAAGAAATGACATTGTTTCGAGTTGCGATTGAAGGTGTTCAAGCGAAGCCTGCCGCAACCAACTGTCAAAGATGTCTCCGGGGCATGGTGACTTTCACTCCCCGGCCCATCATCTGAAGATCAACGAACCGTGCCATTGCCAAGTGGAGATCCCTCGTCTCTCAAGTGTCTACGGAGTACACAGCACATGAATGCTTTCGCAATCAAGTCACCAAATCTTACAACTTGTTAGTTGTCGACCATGATCATCTTATGTGAGTCATTAAGATACCTTATCTTGGTGTTGTTTTGTCCAAACCCCACAGTCCCGCGCGCATTTCACCACCAGCGACCAATCAATTAATAAGTCTCTCCGCGGCACAGAACGAAGACTAAGATGAACCGATATGATATCATCAACGCTTACCTCATCTAGCATAACCAGCCACGGCTCACGATGGGATATAAACCAACGATAGATGCGCACATTGGACAGTAGTTGAATGTCCTCATTCCGCAACCAAGCATTAATGACTACATCTACCAACCAAGCCAATTGTTCTTCAGAAACCCTCAAAATGGGCGTAACAGAATTTTCTTACTTCACCATCAAGCCCGGCAAGACATTCCCCGACGAAGAGGGTCTGTATGACCGCGTCTTGGACCAAGCCGTCAGCCAACCCGGCGCCGGGAGTATCTACTATGGCAACTCAATCGAGAAGCCTGAGCAGACGTGGTGTTTCCTCGACTGGGATTCGGTGGAGGACCACTTAGCCTACCGCGATACCGCGTGCGTTTCCATTTCACCGCTCGTTGATGAGAAGCAGATCCTCACTTCTCCTTTACAAGCAGCTAACTCACCCACTCCTTCAGAGCACACGCCCCTATAGGCAAAGCCGTCGGAGAATACCTCGACTGGAACCATGGCTACATAAAGCACATCACGCCCACCCCCTGGCCCCCCACGATTCTCGCCTCAGCCCCCGTCATCGAGGTTCTCACCCTCTTCTTCCCCGCCGACCTCGACGCCGCCGCCAAAGAGGCCCTCACGGCGCAGCTGGAGGAGTTCAAGACCAATGCCCTCGATACGAGTCCCGACTTCAAGGGTATTAGCTACGGATGGAGCGTCGAGAATGATGTTCCCGTTACGGACGAGCCTGGTACGACGGGGAATCTACTTGCTGCTTTTATCGGGTGGCCGAGCGTAGATGCGCATATGAAGTTCCGCGATACGGTGCCGTTCAAGGAGAATATTGGGATTCTGAGGGAGATGGAGGGGATCGTTAAGTTGGGGGTTTTCCATGTTAGCTGTAAGAGCAAGCTGCCTCCTAAGAAGGAGTGAGGGGGTTATGTGAGTCCTCATGATAGGGAATTTATTATTCTGTAGTGGGAGTTCTATGTATAGGTGTTACCGTCTCACAGGTTGCCATCTCAAGTGGATCTACTCTTCGCCAAGAATTTTGAGAAGACTACATGCACGTACTCTCACCTTCGCCTTTCGAATCAATACTCCGTATTTGGGTTTTTGTCATGTGCCTTTGTCGTTGCGAGACGTCGAAACAGTCAACCGATCAGTCACGTTCAAGACTTCAAGTCGGAGATCCAGACCCTTAGGGCGATAGCTGGTCACCATTCTAGCGCCGGTTCACAATCGTGACGGATTATCCGAGCCAGTTTGAGGTCTTCTGTAACAGAGACGACACAAGAGACTGTTATGGCGAATACAATATTTCGTTAATCAAAAGTTTTGGTTTTCGACTAGCTCCTAACAAGATAGCCTTAACGACAAGCCAAAGCGATGACATCACTTTTTAAACGAATGAATAACCACCCAGCACTGTTAAGTCCTAGCCAGGATATTCCGAACAACCACTGATTTCTGGATGCGTATTAGCTTTGATCTTCAGTCCAAGTACGTCGATATAGAGACCGAAGCTTACCGATGAGTCCGAAATCCTCTAGCACTTGTGGCGACGGTTGAAAGCACCACCGCTGATGCAAGTGTCCACGTAGTATCCCTTGGGGCATTGGCAGGTACCGGTCGAGGTAGGTCCGCCGGCATAGGTGCAGGTCAGCGCGCAGCGAGATCCGCCATCGCCGTTGGTACCGGCCTTGCCGCACGAGGCGTAGCCGGTACCGCAGAGCTCGGAGGGGAAGACGGTGTTGGCGTCGCCGGCGGGAATGGTACCCGCGGCAGCGAGGGTGACCAGGGCGCTCATGGCGAGGGTGAAAGTAGTGGAGAACTGCATTTTGATGGGATGGATTTGGTTGTTGTGGTGTAGGCTGTAAGAGCGAATGTGTGACTTGAGGTTGTAGTGAGTGCGGAACTGAATTTGATAGTGATGATGAGGTTTGAGAATGGCAGCCCAAGACTCTGGTCTTTATAGTCCAAGAAAGTCATTCATCCAGGCGTGAGATATCCAAGCCCGTCAGTTCGGGAACATCTTCACAGCCCGGATCGCCGGCATCGTCCCCAATCAATTTGACGAGGCTAGGCTGTGCTCTATGTCTGCTGCCCGCAACATATTACGCTTAGCGTCAGACTCCATAGTATGGTGGTGGTGATCACAGGAGCGGTACGGAACAACTGACTACGGACATCAGCCTTGAGCTCGCTTTCTAGATGAAGTGGAGTTGCTAGCCCTACGGAGTACCCGACTACCCGTATAAATTCCCAATAGAATGGACGATCTGCCCTTCGGTCTCGGGAAAAAAGAGTCCCATATCTCGGTTTTAGAGTTGTGCACGTCCTACGCAGTATATTAACCACGCTGGCTCGTGGCTTGTGTTTACTACGTAGCAGTTGGTTATGACTCGAACTTACGGGGTTGAGCTTTTGAACACCGCGAAATTTGGAAGATCATCAGACTGATATCCACCCCCCGGGCCCCTTCCTGCGTCCGCGTATTGAACAATTGCGCAGCAAATAGTTGTCGCATGAGAGAAAGTGGCACTCGGGTGGACACTCATAAGCTTTTTCCAATTTGATCTTCGGAGCAACGTTGGATCCCGCACCCGTTTAATGTAAAACGTGGTTCTGTCTAAGTAAGGTAGCCAGAGGGAAGCAATGGCCCCCAACACGTCAACGCGAAGGATGCACATAGCGTGGAAGCATCTAATCAACGCAGGTTGTCGACGGAGGAGGACATGATCAGGTATCATGGCGCGTCACACGCCAAAAAGTAGAGAACGGATTGCCTCCTGAAAATTAGTGTCAAGACTTGGAATATATGATAATGCTGATACATGTCTAAAGTCCCATAACGTATAGTCTCTTGGACGCCAAGAAGCGCCAAGAACGATCCTGTTCATCTGAATTCTGTTTATTTGGGGTATGAATCATCCCATCTTAAGCACGCTCTATTCAAATCGCTAGTCATGGTCTGGTGTTCGACGCCCTTCCAGCCACTGCTTCTCACTCCATTCTAATCAACAACAGTCCACGACCCAGAAGGCCCATACTCAATCTCATGCGACGTGACATCCTCAAAATCAATAATCTTTAGCGAAGAATCGTGTATCTTGTCCACCATGGCGCCCGTCTCCGCTGAGGGCTGAAACCACACAGCCGCCAGCGGCTGGGGCGTCAGGGTCTCGGAGCCGGGCGGGAGGGGACCGAACTGGCTGACGTGGACGGGAGCCTCGACGCCGTTGACGGTCTTGTAGATGACTGCTGATGCGGAGGAGGTGAGGTTGTTGAAGAGGAAGCCGTTGGCCGGGGCTGTTTCGTCCGAGGCTGTGACGCCGTCGGTCCAGTCTGATGGGAGGGTCCAGGATTCGCCAAAGGTGATGGGTTGTTGGGTTGTTGCGACGTCGAATTTGACTGTTTGGTTGGAGGTTCATGTTAGAAAATGGAATTTTACAGAATGTGGCCGCCTTTCCTGATGGTATGAAGGGGAAAGAAAGGAGAGGCACGCGGAAACTTACCTCCGCTTGAGAAGGCGCTCATTGTTCCTGCGATGGAGTAGTCGTCCACCCATGTGACTGTCAAGTTTCGAGCGCAGACTATTACATTGTATCAGGTCAGGGATCTCAACCCGAAAAGAGAGCACAATTTGCTTCAAAACATCATACCTGAAGAATACCCAATGACGTTGAACTTGGTAGACCCCGGCCGCGCAGTCGTGTCGAAGCCGAAGCCAAGGCATAACCTAAGCCCACCGGCCTTGAACTTCTTGACCATGTTCTGGTCAATCTTTATGTTGAGCTTATATTCCGTCATATTGGGCTGTGTGTGAACTGTCAATGATTTCAAACGTTCTCTGCAAATGTCATCAACGGAGAGACGACGACCCCCCCCTTTTTGTAGGTTGGCCTGGCATGTCTCCCGACCCCTTATTTCTACAAGAACATCCTGATTCCGGCCAATAATATGCTTTGGGAGACTCTCGATGTCTCGTATACACAGAAACTGAGAGCACACATGCGAATGACGCAGCTGTCTTGCCCACGTTCACAGCGGAGCCTCCTAGCTAGGCGAGTGCGAGACTGCGAGTGCGATGTCTCACACTGAGGCCGAAAGGGGAACAGCCCGCGGACCATCGTTCGCGCGAGTTTGTACGTTAACGGCCGCGTAGCGCCGCGTAGTGAAGGAGTAAATACCGTTTGAGAATACGATTGCGGACCGGCGCTAAAAAAAACAAAAGTTGGTTGCTGGCAACGGTTCGGCTAACGTGGTGATGCGCCGCTGGCGGTGCGTGTGATGCGGCGCGTGTGATGATGCGATTTTCCTGATCGAGTTCGTAAAAGGATATGATGGACGTTTGCGAGGGTTCTTACCTCCGCCTTATCTGCGTTTTGAGAGACAGAGACATGTCTTTGGCGTCGTAGATGTCACGTTTTGGGTCGCTGTTGATCTGCATTGAGCAGGTTCGGAGTTCCGAATGCTTGGTTTTGATTGCCACGCTATCTTGAACGCCGAAGATAATGGAAAGCCCGACTGGAAAAGGATACCGTGATGGAGGCCCATCCTCATTCACTGCGTCGAACTAAAGATATATCTGGACGTAATAGCTACGTTGTCTCATTATGCAAATGTTCTCCAGAACCCTGTAGGCTTATTCTCTTAGTCGTATCGTCGTCTACCTCAGCTAATGGCAAGCTTTGCAAGTTCAGGGCGAATTGCACTGTTGTCAGAGACATGCTTCCTATTTCTCAAGATAAACCAAACTCGAAACCAAACCTTACGTTTATAAAATTGCGCTTCCAGACTTTGTCCCGTATGCTAAGTGCGCTGGGTTTTGGTACGCCAGGAGATGAGGCGAGGTTGAACTGCCGAAAGCTATCAGCCAAAGACCAGCTCTACCGGATGCGGTCGGTCGTGTGGTGGGTTTTCAAAAATTCTGGGCCATCTTTTGACTTCGATCTCAACTGACCAGGTTCAATCTTTCCTGTTCTCACCAAAACTTCATTCTCAGATGATTAGCCTAGATGCTGGACTTCATGATAAGGCTCCGTAGAGATCATGCTTTCGGAAGCAAAGGAGATATACTTGTGGCCCACGAGGGGGGATGGTCCAGCTCATAGCCACCATTGTGTGACTGTAGACGCCTACACACAGACTCCTCTCAGCTTAACCTGTTATGGCGGGTTTTCCGCGACACGCAGATAGAGATAAGCCACTGCGAAAAGCACAAGCAGAAGCAGACCGACCAGACTGATGTGTCTAACAGTCTGCACAGCATTCTTGTCACCAACAACCAAGCCCTCAACCTCCGGTAGAGAACCAACCATATCATTCCTCCTGGCCTCCTTCAGCTTCTTCGAGGTATTTGGATCATACAAATCAATAAACGCAGAAACCTCCTTTAAACTCCTAAGCGAAGCCCTCCCAAGAACAGGATCCCCACCGCTCTGACGATACGGACGCAACGCCTCGAGATGAACAAAATAACACTGTCGGATGTTCACGTACGAGTTTTTCGCCAGCGGCGGACAGTTATTCGGGAAGCAGAGCTGTGTGTCGGGCATAGTTGGGTGCGTTGCGGGTTTGATGGGTACGTATTTCAGCCAGTGATTCCAATCTGGGGTATGGGCTTGCGCGTTGCCGCGTGCGCCCATTGAGGTGATCTTAATGGGGGTCAGCCTTCTTCATGAGTGTCAGAGGAGTTGAGATCGTCAAGAGAGGGTATGAGAATGTCATGTACCATGAATATCTCGACAGTTCCCTCGGAGGAGGGGACCCTGGACATGATTATAACTGGGTGATTGTATGCGCCTTCTTCTACATTGGGGTCGATGTCGGCTGGTATGCGATGCCTCTGTGGAAGCCACATGATTTGGCCAGAGAGACTATTGGAAATGCGGCGAGGGCTGGGTAGTTGAGCCCCCGGTTTCCTATTCGATGGAGGCATCGGTGTCCGAGACAAAGTATCTGAGGCTGTAGATCTGGTATGAAGGAGGGAGATGAGATTGATGGGGCCAATTGAGGGAAAGAAGCGGAGTTGATGACGACGACACAAGTCATAAAAGACTGGAAATTCAATCAATGAAGAAGCACTGTCTCAAATATTCCGTAGGGTAGGTGTTTTTCACCTCAACTCACTTTACTTTCGAGTTTGGCTGGCTGGATCTCACAAAAGCCGAGTTGATGTTGCAACGGAGACAATTTCCGGTTGTCGTCACCGTTGGTTGGGACCCAAAATAGATGCCGAACCCCAGGTCAGGAACAGGGGGCAGGCTCTACCTTGGGTCCTCAGGCCTCAATAAAGCACCTGCATTTGCATCTACATGCTCAAGCAACTTGTCCGTTGGTCTTCGGGAACTACCTACCTAATCATGGAACGGCCCGAGCCCGGGGGGTTCCACGCATCCTTCTCTCTGGCAAAAGGTGTCCTAGATATGCAAACCAGCGCCCCATCGTTGCTTGATGTCTACTCAATCAAATAAGATTAGTTGTAAGCTTCAGTAGAAGCGTGCGATGTTCTTCAGGGCTATCACCACCGCCGTTTATTCCATTCCGAACCAAATCCGAGTATAATCATGGACTTCTCACACTTATCTATTTCCTCCCCCAGTGTAAGAACATTCGGAGTTCAATCCAGAAATCATGTGACAGGCAGCTAGTCTAGAAAGACGCATTCAATAGAATGTCATTGTGAGGTATCTGATGAGGTGGGGGGCGATGTGGTGGTGTGCCAAGAAGGCGATGCGGCGCAGGTGTTCATCAAGGAGATCACACCTCTTCCTATCTTGGGAAACAATATACAAAGATTCTACCAGGCAAGAGAGGGGCGGAAAATATGTTTCAAGTCCCGACAGGCTGTGTCTACCTTGCTCTTGTCAAGGTGGGTGGTGCAAAGAAACATGACCAGGGTTGACTGTTCAAACCAACAAAGAACTTCGGGCTCACTCACTCGCTCACTCACTCTACTCTTCTTCACTGAGGCGGTAAGGGCACTCTCTCAAAGACCTCGAACAACGTTCTACCAATCCTTTGTCACTCTTCATGGAAAGGGCTCAGAATAGTTCATCCTCGCTCCAAGAAAGAGGACCTCAAATGAGAACAAAATCTTTCAATGCCCGTTTCTGCCATGGCGCTTATCATTTCATGTTCTTTTCTCAACCACCTACTGTCCTTCGACGCTCTCCACAACCTATATCCTCAAGCCAAACTAGTCTCGTGAGATCCACGACCCAATCTTAGAAGATATCGGCATCACCAAGACAAGACCCCTCCCGTCCTCCAATAAACCCCATCAGACGCACCTCCCAACCTCACCTCAAAGACCTCACCCAACAATGTGCTACAAAGTCCATACGCACACAATGTCATGCGACATCCGCCCAACCATAACATCAACAGCAACCCTCTATATAAACCCCTACCAGCAACCACCACGCTGTCCCTGCCGCCCCTCCTCCTCCTCCTCGTACCACCGCTCCTCCTCCTCAACACCATCCAACGCCCGCCCCTGTCCCTCCCATGCCTGCTGCAGCCTCAACCTCATCCTCTACCGCTGCCCAGCCTACTGCCGCCAACCGATAGACTACCACCAATACACCGAGTGCACCATGCAAAATCACTACCCGGTGCACACCTCCCGCACCGCCTACTCGTATTCATATTCCTACACAAACGACCACACATACCCCTATTCATCGCACTATCCCTCCACCTCGCCTCCTCGCTGGCGCACAATCCGCATCTTTGACCGGAACCCCGACTTCCACGCCCTCGAATCCGCCGACTTCCGCTTCGCGATTTCGGAATTGGTCGACATAGGCGGGATCCTCCTCCACGCAGACTCTGAATTCGAAAAAGCGCGGCTGAGACGAGACCACGAACGTCGTCGTCATGATACCTCGCACGGAAGGTCCTGTGAGCGCCAGCGGGAGTGTGCCTGGACGCAACGCATTGCAGAGATGGCGCTCGAGGCGGACGATATTGAGTTCAGCTCCGAGGTGCTGGCGGATTGCTGGGTCAAGTACGTCGGGTTGTTGAGGAAGTATGAGGGGCTGGGGCAGAGGCGCGTAAGCGGTCTCATCGAGGATCGCGGGCGGGGGCGGCGGAAGGCGACGGGTGAGTCGCGAGGTGTCGAGGTTGAGGTTGAGGTTCCTAGGGCTGATAAGGGGAAGCCGTTTCGGTATGTTTCGCGTGAGACTTGGGTTCGGGAGAAGCGGGTTCCTGAGGAGAGGAAGCGGGATCGGGAGTGCTGTCGGGAGTACAAGACGTATAGACCGGAGGCAAATACGAGACGACGGAGTTCGGTGAGGTTTGCGGATGAGGTTGGTGGTGAGAAGAGTTACTTCAGTGAAAGCGGGTGGGGTCGAAGGTGGTCGATATATTAGATTACTGTCCTGTGTTTTCCCCTGAGTTGCGACAGGATGTAATCGTTCACGATAGACAAGGCGTGGGCGCCGGGTAGAGTAAACATCGCTTCATTAAGGTTTTTGCGTCCAGGTGCTCTAAATGCTATGATATGCTCGCAAGTGTACCGCCCAATGCATGTCCATGACTCCGAGCTCGCAACCACGGGGTTTTCCAATCGTGCGATTATCCCAAAACATAAACACAATTCCTTGCCGACGACTAGTAGACGAGCTTGAACTCGACACTTGACTTGATGGCCTTGACCGTCTCCGGTATCGGTAGTGGATCGTAAAAAGGGTTTGGACGGAAAGTCACCTCCTTCAACTTGGGCAGGATGTCCTTGCTTTGGAAAACAAGCTTATACAAAGCATCCTGTAGGCCCTTCTCGTATACTGTGCGTTCCTTTGCGGTAAGCTGGTCGACCTCGATATCATGCCACAGTTCCGCCAAGTCGAGAACCTCTACCGTGGGCGGCAGTCGTTGGATGATGTCGATCTTTTCTACCCACTGAGGTTTCCCGTATAGGATTCCTATGTCGAGTTTGACGTTGCGCAGCGACTTCATCTTGGGGAGTACCGTGAGTGTGCCGTCTCCACCAACGTGCTGCGAGAAGTTGCCCGCCAAGATACCCTCGAATGAAAAGGTCTCCAGGGTATCGGCGACAAGAGACAAAGCCGTGTTCAGGTTGTGTTCACCGTCGGCAGGCTGTTCCGCTACGCCGCTGGGACCCATCTCGAGAAGCTTGAGGTTGGGACAAAGGGCGCATATTGCGTGCCATCCTTGGCCCCACATGCTGCTCCGAACAAGTCGGAGCTCCTCGACATTCTTCCAGCTCCCATCGTCACCCCAACCGTCACCAGGCTCCAGAACCGCAGGACGATACACGGCTGAGCCGAGTTCCACAGAGCGCAAGTTGGGTAGCCGCAAAAGGCATGGCAGTTCGCGGCGCGGCCAGAAGCTCGCGCCGGGAAAGTCCGGCATCGGCTCGAGCATGACGCGGGTGAGGGAGCTTAGGACGCGCGGGCAGCCCTCGGCGGTTTCGATATCGGGGGTGAGAATGGCTTTGAGCTTCTGGTATTCTCCGGCGGCGAAGGGCATGCGCATGTGCAAGGTGCGCAGGTTTGGTGAGGAGTAGAGGATGAGTGCAAAGACAATCTGGGCGAATTCGAGCTCAGTCTTGGCGTCACGCACAAACATCTTGATGCGGTCCGGAAATCGGGGCGAGGCTTCTACCAGGCGACGCCATTCGGTGCGCTTGTACGGGCAGAGGACGTCCGTCGGATAGTGATCGGTGCCTAGGCAGGAGACGTAGGAGAGGATGCGCATGTTGTCGCCCAGCTCTGGGCGTTCAAGCAGAGTCTGGAGGAGTGACTGAAGCCGTGTCTGACCCCATAGATAGACTGTTTGATAGAGGAAAGGGATTGCCAGGTCCGAGAGCCGCCGACACACGAACGCGAGGCGGTAAAGGGCGACGCGGTTGGTGACAACGACGCCATCTGGGTCGGTGTAGGCCTGAAACGGAATGTCGAGGCCATCGAGCGGCGGTGTTAGGTGGCCGACGATTTGAAGTAGGACCTCATCGGGGAGAGCAAGTAATGACAAAGACGAAGCCATTTTGTGAGAGAGCCGGTAAACGTTGGGCGAGTGGGTGAGTGAGGAATTAGGAGTCGTCGTCAAGTCAAAGAGAGGGAGGTGGAGAGGGAGGTGGAGAGGTGAGTGAGATATTAGATCTTGATTAGGCGGGGTTATGTGCCGGAGTGAGACAGCGTTGAAGTCTGTCACCGGACGAGAAAAGTTCTAGACGAGACGAAAGAAAAAAGAGGTAGACGTGTGCCCAGGCCTGTCTCAACCAACAGGTGGTTGACGGGGGAGGCTGAGTAGGATGAAAGCGAGATGGTGACCTTATGTAAAGCAAGCCAGTTCACTTGGCGGAGCGACAGCGACAGCGACAGCGACACATGCCAGCGAGGTAAGGAGTAACAAAGGCAAAAAAGCACGCAGGGTTTGACGAGGGAGAGAAGGGGGAGACTGCAGGAGGAGAAAACCGAGAAGAAGAGGAAGAAAATTTAGATGAGACGGGCGCGTGGCGTAGCAAGATTCCCCCAGGTTTTCCGCTCCGATGCACTCCACCGAGAACCCACCGTGTCAGGGACTCCCACGCTTCAAGAGTCTCCGACAACGAAGGGACCCCCTTTTGACGATCCGGATGCGGCGAGTAGACTCAATCGAGGGGGGTTTGGTGACTTGGTTCAGTCTGCGAGATGCGGATGGGGATGCGGGAGAAAGGTATGTATGTACGTATTGAAGTGGGCAATAAGAAAAGATGGACCTGGGGTGCAATGGGAATTTGAGTGTGGGCGGAATCCCATCTTATTGACTGCTCAATGCTCACAGCTGCTGCCAGGGGCGTGGGCTAGAATCCAGTTCCCGAGGTCCTTGTCATCCAGATGGCTCTGCTGCCATGCTATGCGCGGCAGGATACGTACATACATACACGCATACGTCCAGTACTTTATTACGTGACTGCTTTGTGGGTTCGTGCGTCTTGTTGTATGTATCGTGCGGAGTACGGATATGCGCATGCGTTGGAAGAATTGGAATGTCATGTATCTCGGACGGGTTTCGAGAAGGTCTATGAAGCTCCCCAGGTTCGAAGTGACTCCCATCGTGGAACAAGTCAGTCTCGAGGAGAAGACAAGACCAGCCTGCACTTGCAATGGCAACGGGAACGGCGGTGGTATCGGAGGAATGACGTTGCCGGAAGCGCACCCGTTCCTCGGCGATCATTGAGCTGTCGGGAGGCTTGGCTGTAACTACCCTGGATTTGGCGTGGGCGTGGGCGAGGTTGGGTGACAACGCATGGTCTGCGAACGAACCGATCGGGAGGCCATGGTCGAAGGGTAAAGTAGTGGAAACTGTCTTGTTTATCAGACACTTGGTAAAGTTGATGGTCGGCGAGGACACATTGGATGAAATAGCGTTGCAGTCATGGTGTTATGCCACAATGGAAGCGGCAGAGGCACACCGTGGAGAGGAAAGAGGAGGAAGAAGACCTTCACTGGGGCTGCCCGAGGTGAGGGACAGAGTAGGTAGGTAGGTACGTACCTAATGTGGAAAAAGAAGAAAAGACAAAAGAGTGGAGACACTGGATGGAGGTTTATCCCAAAGGGGAATAGTGTGCTGGGATCCACCCTCAAAGGGCTGGAAGCGAATGATTGGCAGATCCCGCGCCGTCTCCCTTCCGTCCCTTGACGCTGACGTTTCTCTCCTCACCCAACACATGAACATGAACTCCTTCAAAGTCCAATTCTCCACTACATTGCCCAAGTGACAGATGGTTGCAGTTGCGTCCAATGTGGAAAGCGTAGTGCTCTCATGACAGGTTTGGCAGTTTGATACAGTCATGTTGGTGGCTTGGCATCTTGGCTAGGACTAACACATTGCAGTAATTCGTACGAACACAATAGATAATTGCCCATCCCCAATACCTTTTGTCTTCAGTTATCGACAGGAGAGGCTTGCAAGATGGAAACACGGCGGTCACGAGGGGCAGACCACATAACAGCTCGAGCTGTCTGATTATGGGAAATGATCCAATTTATCACGCTATGGCAGATCCGGATCCACGTGTTTGTTTGCAATCTGGCCAGGTTATGCATGTCTTGGCATCTCCCTTTCCTTTACTGTCAACCACCACTGACCATTGCTAATATTCATGCAGGTAAATTCCAGTCATTGACTGACCGTTGGAATGTGAATTCCAAGACGACCGACAATGCTTTGTCGCCGGCACTCGGCACTCGCTCACGTCGCTGTCCTCCCTGCTTACCTAAGGCCGAGATAGGTAGGACTGTCCACACGGACCACTTCCAAGCAGCTCGCGTGAGCTTCAGCCTCAGGCACTAACACCTTTTTACCAGGCATCCAACTCCCGATGTGACCGCCTGCGTCCGCCTGCTTGCGGATGTCTCCCTCTCTAGCTCTAAGTCGCTCCCGCACTCCTCCTCCAACAGGGGCTCCCCAGTCACTACGAACAAGACGGTTCCTCGATTCACAGAGATCACACCACTTTCCGGGGCCTTGCGGATCCTCTCTGTCAGGGATCCCACGCTTAAAACGTGGTCGACACCGTTGGCCCCCTAGTCTAGGGTCTCTCCTAGGTGCCCACTGTTCCGCCCATCTGGATTCGCTTTCGAGACGACCACACGACATCGCCACCTACCTTGTTCAGTACGATGCCTCTTCAACGTCGTGTCGAGGGCAGAATCGACGACTCACACCGTGCAGCGTGCCCGCCGGTTGTCTAGGATTCCTCCTCTCTCTAGCTGCTCGCGGTGCGGTCCATGTGCCGTTCTGAAACTTGGGACCAGCTGATTCCAAGACAGAAGCTTGTTTTTCGTCTCCTCGTCTCGGTCTGGGACGAAAGTCTCCTAGATGAAGCCCGCGCTTGGATAGCAAGGCATTGCTCGGCATCCTCTCCTCCCACATAGCTTTTATTCGAAGCTTGTCTTGCAAAGTCTGAAGAGCATTGCTTCCGTCAGTCCACTCTTCTTCCGAAGCCTCGTTGAAAGTTGTCCACGGAGCATCCCGCGAGCCGGAGCATTCCCAGTAAAGGACAATCTGAAGAGCTACGATGCCGGTCAAGTTGGCCTAGGTCTCGAGTTTCCTCGCCTCGTCGAGATTAGCTTCCGATTATGGGCAGAAATTGGCCAAGTTGCCAATTCATGGCGAAGACCGACCATGATACCTTCTCGATGACCGATCGTCGCCGGCAACCCTCTATTCAAAGTTTGGAGGGAGCGTTGCCTAGGATCGAACGGCTTTCAACTTGCAACTTCCTCTCCGCCACGAGCCACCAGCTATAGAGGCCCTGTCACCGTGTTCATCGCGATCATTTCAACAAAATCATCCCTGCAGAAGTCTGCAGGTCTCGAAAGCGAGCCCGCTTATCACGTCTTCGTGTTGAAGCTGGCTAATCTTGCGAGCATATAACCTCGGCACGATTGGTCGACACTCTCGCGAGCTTGACGAACAATATCCAACTCAATGAGTCGGCCTAGGTTCCCACAAGCCATCAGCGTCTTGCCCAGAGTATAGCGTCGACTCAGTTCCATCGCTACTATTCACACTCTCCATGGATACCACAAGTCGTTTCCGTAGCCTCGACGAATTGTACCGGATGGGCCTCGGATCTTCGTCATCCTCTGAATCACTGCTACTGCTCTCTTGATCGCTAGAGCTCTCATCCCGCGAGTGCTTACTGCCGCATACCGAGTAGACCATTTGGCCTCGAGACTTTCGTCTGCCTAGGCGTGTTCCCTCCCCACGCTCTTTGCACAGAATGGCAACCGCAGTCGGCACGCTTCCGCTTCCGAGGTCTCTCAGCACAGCCAGTGCTTCCTCTTCCGTATTGCCTTGATTCAACAGCCCCTTCATCTTGTCCCAGAAGGCCTTTCGGCGGGTGAACCACGAACGCCCATATGTGCCGTTTCGCCACTTGGCCCGGTACATCTTCTCTAGCAATTCAACTGGCTGCTGGCCGTGGAGACCGTACTTGTATTCTGCCCACTGTTCTTCGACTGTTGGCGGGTGCGGGTAGAACTTGAAAATCGGCCGCATATCTCCATCCTTGCCTCTGACGGTTAGTGGGCTGAAGTACTTCGGGTCATCATATGGGTTGACAGTGTCTTTTGGGGACAGTTTATGTTGTTGTGACGCTTTACTCCGAACGACAGCTCCATCGACAGTGAGGTCGGTGGCTTGTTCAACATCGGAGGATCTGGCGCCCGGTGCTTCTTCCGGCCCCACCTCCAACACCTCAACCTGAAGGTCCTTGTTGACAGCAACATTGATGTTATTCCTCCTCTCTGGTCTCCTCGAGGGCTGATTCGGACGTCGAATCGCCGCAGCCGCCCGCGGTCTTGGCGCACTCTTGCCAGTGCTTCTTTTCACGGCCGGTGGCGCTGCCTCGGTAGTCGCTAGATGTTGTTCTTGGACCCCAATGGGATTCAGAGATTTGGCTGTCCGAACTTTGGACGACAATGGGATAGATTCCCGTACTGGCGGCGGCACTTCACTTCTCTCAGGGGGCACTGTTGGCGTCTGAGATGGCGACGGCAGGGCTGCGCCTCTCTTTTTGCCTTCAAAACTGCCGTCTTGCAGCGCATAATCTCTGACTGCGGGATCTAGTGGATCGACACCGAAAACTTCCTACTACCGGTCAGCGTGTCCAAGGTAGCAGTTATTCTCACCTCGAAGATGGCCACCTAAACCAGCCTGACCAACGAGGAGGCAGACGCTGACGACAGGGAAACTCACCTTGACGATTGAAGTCATGACGTTAAGCTGCTGTTGTAATCTCGTGTTGACTTGATCCATATACACTGCCATATCTCGATTCGTTGCTTCCTGTCGTTCCTGCAACTCCCGGACTTCTTTCGTGTACTCATGCTGTAGTCCGATGACTATTTGAGCAAATCCATCCTCATCCATAGGCCCAGCCACCGATGGTCCGGCGTAGATTTCTGATTTAGGTGCGTCCTCGCTGTCCGAATAGTCGACCAGCCGTACTTGGGCGTGTGCCATCTTCAGCTGCTGCGAGTTGGAAATATTCTCGGTTGAAATCTTTTGTAACTATCGTACTTGAACGTGGATCTTGTGGAATGCTACCCAGACAGGATGCCTTGGCTAAAAGATGTACTGGCGGCTACCTTTATTCCCAGATCACGTATTCCTTGGGTGCCACGAAGACGCAAGGGAACAAAGACCAAGTTCGAGGGAAATAATCATTCTGCGCGGACTTGCTCTGTGGTGTGCCTGGTTTCTTTGTCTACTTTCGAAGATGAGTTTGGCTGCGCTGAACCACAAACACCATTATGCAAACACCCCTCGAACCTCGCACCGCCCCGTGCACTTTCCAACCGACAAGATGAGTCGAACTCGTTAGAGAAGAACAGAGCTGCAGCCTGGAACAAACCTGCTATGGCGGAACGATATAAACCTCTAAGATTACTGTTGTGCAACACGAGCTTCGTCAGGGTCGACGGAGCCGAGAAACGGATCGCTACGAGAAGTGGGCATCAATGAGCTGGAGACTTCACTCACCAACGGACCTTGCTATGCAACCCTGGCTGCTATCACTAATTGCACTCTGAGGTACCATCAGCCCGCCAACCATCGATCAAGTGACCACTTTGGCACTTGCCAACAGGCATCTTTCGATTAAGGAAAGCTGAAGGTTGAATTCTAAACAACGAGAAGCTGGATTTTCCGACATGATTCAGGATATTCTTTCTGTTCTCAATCATCACCCCAACACCGAGAAGGCCTTCTCCACCGGCAAGTTCCTCGAGCTGAAGCCGACCCGGAACGTAAACTCACCCTCCGGAATCACCCATACCTTCTCCGACGCATTCCATAAACTTACATCCCGCCTCATCAGCAAGAAATTCACCTCAGCCGAGCCACCCGCCTCGATCTGAATCTTCTCAAAGCCCCGCAAGACCTTCTTCGGCGTGCCTTCCGGCGCGGTCTCCGGGAAAGAGACGTAGAGCTGCGGGACAGCAAAGGCACTCCTGTTGCCCGTGTTCGAAATCGACGCCTTGACGCTGATGAGATCATCCCACAGCTGCGGATGTCCGCCGGGTTGAACTGCGATCGCCGCGTCTGGACGAGCAGCGATGGATGAGTTTCCAGCGGCAAAGCTCACGTCGACCTGGCCATCTACCACTTCGAACGTCGTGTACGTCAACCCGAAGCCAAACTCATACAACGGCTCGATACCAAGCGCATCGTAGTGGCGGTAATCGATCATCTGGCCCTCTGTGAAGTTTGCCTGCCACGCAAGCGGATCACCGACAGGCTGCGTGAGGTTTACAATCGCCGGTCCCGCATACTCCTCGCTGCGCGGGACAGAGTACGGCAGCCGGCCCGAGGGCGCGACATCCCCCCAGAGCAAATCGACAATGGAGTTACCGCTCTCCTGGCCCGGGTAATGCGCCGCCAGGATCGCGCCAATCTTGGTGTGGTTTGCCCAGGGCATGGTATTCACGCCCCCCGAGTGCGTGACCACCACCGTCGTACCACAGAAATCGGCCACATTGTTGATCACAGCCGTCGAATTCCCGTCAAGTTCAAACGACGTGCGGTCAAAGCCTTCGCTGGCGAAAGTCTGCTGGAATACGAGGCAGATTTCCGGCGGGGGGTATACGCCTCTGAAATCATTGGCCGCGAGGACGTCGTTGTTGGTCACGTACAAGACTTCTGCGCCGGACTCTGCTGCTTTTGCGCGGATCGCGGCGAGAGGGGAGATTACATACGACGGGCGGCCTGTGCCTGACCCGCCGCCGATGATCATTGTGCCTGTGTTGGTGGCATCGGGGACCTCGGCGGGGCGGAGGAAGCCGTCTGTCATTTCGCCCGCGTCGTTGCCGAAGACGCCGATGATTTTGGGGTTCGTTAGGGGGAGGGTGAAGTTTGTGTTCTTGAGGAGGACTGTGCCCGCGGAGCCCATTTCGCGGATCAGCTTTGCGTGGTCGCCGCGCACGTCGCGGCCGTGGGTGAAGATGAAGTTGTCGGGTATGAAGCCCCCGTCTTTGGCGACTTGGAGGCCGACTTCTTGGAAGAGGGTCACGAAGCGGAGGGACGGGTCGGGTGAGGGGTAGGACTCTGCGTCTTGGCCTAGGAGGTAGTATGGCGTGAGGATGTTGCGGACCATTTCGTCGATGCGGGATTCGGTGACGGCGCCGTTGGTCACGGCCTCCAAGACTTTGTCGCCGAAGAAGTTTACCGCGCCGGGGTAATCTGTCGGCAAGGTGCCCGGCATCTCGAGGTCGAGGCCGGCGTTGATGGCGTCTGCTGTAGAGTGCGTCGCAAACCAATCCGAGACAGTATACCCCTCAAACCCAAGCTCGTCGCGCAGTAATTCCTTCAGGAGATGGCTGTTCTCACACGCGTACGTCTGGTTGAAGCGGTTATACGAACACATGATGGACGTCGTACCCGCCCTGATAGCGTTGGCGAACGGCCATAGGTAGAGTTCATGAACGGTCCTATCGTCTACATTCGAAGAGATGGCCTCGATGGCTGTCCCGTTGGGAGAAGGGGTGTTGGAGCGCTGGGTTTCTTGTTCGTTTGCAATGTAGTGCTTTGAGCAGGTCTGTACGCCGGCGGATTGTATGCCTGTGATTGCGTGCTCGATGCTGATGCCTGCTAGGTAAGGATCTGGGCCGAAGCCTTCCCAGTTGCGACCGCCTAGGGCTGCGCGACCCATGGGACCTGTTGAAGGGCTGTCGAGACATATTTCAATACGAAGTATCACGTGGTTTTGATAAGAGAGAGAGAAGGAGGTGAACGTACCCGAGAATTACATGTCCTCCTTTCCCCTTGAACTCCTCAGCAAGGGCAACGCCACGACGATAAATCATCTTGCGGTCCCATGTTGCCGCGGCGGTTATGCCCGAGGGGAAAACGCTGACTAGGTCGGCGCGGTTGACGGCGCTGGGGCCGTCGAGCATGCAGATTCCTTTGAAGCCTAGGCGTGGGATGGAGGCGATGACGCCGATGCAGTTTCCGGCGGTGGAGTTTCCGGTTATCATGGAGACTTTTTCTTCGAGGGTGAGTTGGGTCAGCAGGGCTTCGGCGAGTTTAAGGGCTGTGTTCCTGTCTCGTGTGCCTTTGAGGCGAGGTCAGCTTCCCGGATCTTGGGTCATTCAGGAGTAGAGACGACTGTTGGTGGATGGGACGAACCATTGTTGTCGGATCGATGGTTGATATGGCTGGCGAAGCTTGTATAGGCTCCGACGAGGAGAAGAAGTGGTGTCCACAGCATGATGGATGATTATTTCCGGCTACTGTTCGGCGGAAGGCAGGCTAGGCTTGCAAGATAGCTCAAGAGTGCTCATGATCAAGATTTCTTCAGATAGAAGATTGCATGACGCCTATTTATACTACCTTGACTCTCTTTAGATATTGAGAAAGGAAATCACAGTGCCCTAATATCCTCGGTTGCGCTACTTAAGATACGGAGTACGAGGCCAAGCAGTCCTTGTGAAGTCTGCATATATCCGGACCGCGACGGTGTCGAAGGATCACGAGGTGGGCGAGAAATATCGGGCCGATGTATTTTGGACTAGATGGACAATGATCGACCGTATAGAGAACGAGCGGGGAAGATTGTCAGTTCCCATAGTGGCATTCGGTCTTTCGGGTAGTGGTCAAGTCGTACCTACTAGAGGAGCTTCTTCAGGGACATCTGGGTGCTGGGAAGCTTCAAGCCATCTCGTCTGTCATCTCGTCTGTGACTGCGATGCAACTGTCATGGAAGGAGGTTTGCTTCCATTTTACATTCCAATGTCTACTTCAAATTGGAACGAGATTGAATAAGGTTGGTAACTAGCAGAGACGAGATGTACGACAATGAACTCATCCATCTCGAACAGAGTGGTCGAATTTCCCCATGGGGAGCTCAAAAGAGTTATTGAAAAGGGGTACCAGCATTTGACTTCACCATCCACTGCCCCCACTAGCTGCAAGTCCCAAGAATACGAAAACTCGGATCACAGCCGACTTCCTGCATTTGACTGGTAGATGGTTCGATTTCCCATGATCTCTCAACAACCCGTCACCCGCGTATTTGAAAAGCAGCGTGATCGCAACACTTATACGCGTATCTACTGAGCCTGATATTACTCGGAGCCGAAGAACCCATGTAACCACAACACATCATTTTGAGGGGTAAGTCCTTGTTTCCCCGCATGTCATCCCTCACTTTCTTTCCATGGGGAAGAGTCTGGAATCGTGGCGTGACTGACGAGTTGGGTTTGACTGACCGATTACTTGGTTCTGACTTCCGGCGAACAAGGTTTCTGAGTATGAGTGTTTCAATAGTTTTATTGAGCGGAATTGAAGTTCATCGAGTACCTACTGTAATGGTGTGTTTTATTAAGCACATCCACTCCTAGCTGTTGTCGATTCGTGCAAAATCAAGTGGCAAAACGCCGTGTTGGAGTGAGAAGGCAACAAGGCTGAGGTTTTGGCTGATCAGTGGACACGGGTTTATTTTGGCTTCCGAATTCCCGATAACAGCTATGTTGCAGCACATCTCCAATCAACCTGAGTGCGGTTAGAAACTCTGCATTCAAACATGAGTGCCTGGGCAGGGCTTCGGCTCAACTACAAGTTAACAACTCCTGCAGGTAAGACCTCTGGGGTAGGCGATTAAATATCCGATTGGTCTAATTGCCTACAGTCCTCAGACGACGCACTCGTTCATTGTACGAAGTGTGGGGAATGAAGCTGAAGGCGGGATCCCCAGAATGTTTCGCCGGGGAAGGCCCGATTGCTTTGCATTTGCGCATTTTGTCGGCCTTTAAGCTCACATTAGGCATTTCTGTCAATCTGAAGAGTGAAGACAGGATCTCTGAGAAGCTATGATGGACAGACAACGTAGGAAGTCATCAGTATAACACAGTCTTCAACCTGGAAAGTCAAAGATGGCTTGCAGCTTTACTGAGGTCAGAGCGAAGAGGTCGAGCAACACCGACAAGGGCATTGATTTACAGTTGTGCAGGCGTCAAGCTTGGCCTACGCAAACGCCGAGCGGTAATGAACTAGCTGAAGTTCAACTTTCCGCAGCTAGCCTAGGCGTGTCAAAGAGATGGCCATAGGTCACTCCCTGGGATGTACGTCAGGCTTCACTGCAATAGGTAGTTTTGTTGCAAGAAGAGGCAGCAAGAAGAAGAGGAACGATGTAGCCTGGACCTGTAAAATGAATCAGTTAATTGTTAAAGTAATAGGATTCATCAAAGCAGGATACTATGTCTAATACTCTTTTCAGCTCGTTGTAATTTGTCAATTTCTCCTAGTATCAGAAAGAATTCATGTTGGTCGATCAAAATAGAAGCGGCATCTTCCCTCTCTGTCTCTGACGTCGTAAGAGTATAGCGACCACGATGGGAAATGCTTCAACCTATGTAATTACTACATGCATGATCACTCTCAATCAGACTGCATCCAACGCACTCATTCTATCGAAGCTCATATCCAAGATCTCCAACACATTGCCCCAAGGATCCCTAAAGTACAGACACCTCGAGCCGCTCAGCGGATTGAGTGTCGGTTCCCCAATCTTGCTGGCCCCGTTCTGTACAGCCCGTGCCAAGAGAGCTTCTGGTTCTGCGTCCGTCACGCACAAGTGGAAGAAGCCGCCCACGTTGTACGCGAAATCGTCGGCTTTCTTGTAAGCGGGATCGACAAACTCAAAGACCTCGAACCCTACACCGTTGCCGGTGGTCATGAATGCCAGCTTGACTTCCTGCAAAGACTCGGGGTAAATCTTGAAAATCCCCGCGTCTGGTGTCTCGGAGCGCTTGATGTGCTTGATCTTGCCGTTTACGAGGATAAAGCCCATGATCTCGCTGTACCATTTTACTACAGCTTCGATGTCCGGAACGGACACGCCGATATGGTTGATTGATCGCATGTCTGTCTGTATCTATTGCATGGATCGTCAGTACGAACTTGCAGCGGACCGAAGTGTCATCCACAGGAAAGAACAGCAAGTCACATACGCTGGACATAGCGGTTGTTTCTGGCGTGGTCTTGATTGAGTTCAGTCGTTGCGGAAGTACACGTAAAAAAGGTTAATGAGACAAATTTGAGTGCATGTTGGAACGAGGTTCTGAATGATGATGGGATCTCTAACCGCGATGATGATGATGTCTTGACTGGGCGGTGCCTAATCCGGGCTAGATACCGGCCGGATCGGGCAGCCTGACACGGAAACCGAATTCCGATTTAGAGCAGCCGGGATTCTACCCCCGACCGGGGCGGGGCAGTCGGCGCCAGCCGTAGCCATTCCTCGGTGTCGATAGGAACTCGAAGTACTCCGTAATCGTGAATCATTTCCCCGTACTGCCCCGTCGAGCATGCAAGCAGCAATATCATAGTCAAACCCAAACTAAGTCTTCGGCCTGACTTATCGGTGGGCCTGTAATGCACTGACGCATTGAGATGCCTTCCCAGACCTGGAGAGTTGATGCGACAGGTAGATGGGCCAGCCACTAGAATAGAAGAAACATAGAACGCCAGATTCTATGAAACCTATTGACTCATTGAACTTGACTTGAGCAACCAGCCATGCAAATATTCCTGCTTTCGTTTGTGTCTACAGGGACGTTGGGTTCAGTCTTGCATAGCCGGCTAGACTCACGAGGCGTATGTTCAGACACACAGACTTCAATAGAGAAGCGCTGTGCAGCACTGCTAGGAGAATTTCATCCCGCCGGGAATTAATACCAAAAAGAAGCCCTTCTCATGCTGCCGCTTAATGGTAGTTCCTGGCCGCTAGCGGCAGGCGTGCTTGGCATTGATCGACTCCTTGGATAGCCCCTGGTCAACTGATCTTCTGGCTAGATCCGATCCAACTTCAAACGGGCAGGGCGGCCTAGGGCGAGCGACCCCGGAAATAAGCCGTTGTTGCTCAACTCAAAATCCGGGCGCTGACTGAGTGATTTCTGAGATTTTTACCAAGTTTTTTTCGGCAAGTGGGTAGGTCCCCCGTTGCCACATAGCTAGTCATTGCCACCGGGATTGCCACGATAGCATCCAGCTGTGCTTGCATTCGGCTCCACTAACAAGTTTGCAGCGCCTCTGGATGTTGCAGCTGAACATCGGCAATCTCGGCACCATCATATAAAAAATTCACGTTGTCAATCGGATGCTCTGAGAAGATGCCTTCGACAGTCGAGACTCTGGTGTCGTCATTGTGTTTCTGCAGGCGTTCGATCACATGGGTATAGTCACAATGTCTCTTGAGCAGAAGAGATGAGCAATCTGGCAGGTACAATCATCATAGCTATGGAAAAAGGAGTGCACCGAAAAGCGGGCTAGTTGTTTCGAGCCATGAAATGTCCTTTATTTGAAGATTGCAGACCACTCGATGCCGGGTATTCGCAAACAGATGCCCCCCTCGCGATAAACCAAAATGCCGTTGTATCTCTATGTCTATGTACAGTTCGTGATCATGTCATGTGTGTATCTGCGTTTGCCAGCGCAGCTTTTTCATGGGGAGTCCGACTCCGACGACGTGCCCTGCTCCTTGTGAATAACCTCGTCCTTGATGTCTGTGCGGAACTGTACCTCCTCTTCCCTCAACTGGGCCATCAACGTCTCGTTGGCTCTCCAGACGGGCTTGATCTCGAATAGTCTGTCAACCTTCTCCAGGGGAACACCGCTCGTCTCGGGAATGAGGAAGAAGGCGAAGAAGAAGGCGAGGAATGACAGGGCGGCGAAGAAGAAGTAGACGCCGTATCCCATGGCTGCGAACATCTGCTCCGTGAAACGGGAGACGAGGAAGTTGAACAGCCAGTTGCTGGCAGTGGTTGCACCACTTGCCAGGGAACGGAAGTTGGGGTCGAAGAATTCCTTCAGGCTTGTTAGCTATGGTCAATCGTTGACGTAGAGTGGATAGACTTACAGAGTTGATAACCCAGGGGGTACCGTTCCAGGTGGGGGTGTAGACGGCGGTCCAAAGGTAGAAGAAGACGATGGCAGCGATACCACTGCCGGTCAAGTGGTCTTGAGGGTTCTTGGTAGGCTCAACAATGCAGATGTAGCCTCCGATGACCCACATGCAGAGGGAACCAGTGATGGCACCAATGAGAAGAAGCTTTCTTCTTCCGAGTTGATCGACGAGGAAGAGCAGCCAGACGAAGGTCATGACGGCCTTGACGACACCAAAAATACCAGTCATCAGGTTGACAGTGTTGCTCTCAACCCCGATGCTGGAGAAAATGGTCGGGGAGTAGTAGTTGATGGCGTTGATGCCGGAACCGTTCTGCCAAAAGAACAGCATGCAGCCCAAGAAAAGGCGCCACTGGAGATAGGGGCGAGCACCGAGTGCCTTGAAAGGCTGCCAGAAACCGAATCCGACAGTGGCCTTGGTGGACTCGTAAATCTTGTCGATGCCAGCGATTTCCTCGGTGATGTACATGTCGTTGGGCTCCAGCTGTCTGATCCAGCACAAGTTGTCCATGGCCTCCTTGCGTTGGTCATGGAGGAAGAGCCATCGAGGAGACTCACGAATCCACAAAGAGCCAGCCAGCAGAAGACCAGAGGGAATCAGCTGGACTGCGAAAGGGATCATCCATTGCGCGCGGCCAACGGGAACACTGCTTTCAACACCAAACTATCTAACATGTTAGTGACCATGACGAAAACTGATAGTGAAAGTCTGTATAAGGACTCACGTTGATCCAGAACCCGACCAGACCACCAATCTGCCAGCCAAGTTCGTAGAGACCGACCAGACGGCCACGGATAGCCGGCGGTGAAAGTTCTGAGATGTAAACGGGGATAATATTCTGTGAGATCCGTGTGTTAGCAATCGTTACGCTGCAAATTTGTGCTACTCATCATGTGGAGAATCGGTCGATGACCGAGATGAGTCACCACTCAGGGGCATATTGAAGACTCACAGAAGCAACACCAGTTCCTAGACCCGAAAAGACACGTCCAGCGTAGAGGATTCCGAGGCCAAGGTTGCCGTTGGCACCGCAAGTCAATGCCGCTCCCAGAGAGAAGACGGTTGCTCCGATGGCCAAGCACTTCTTGCGACCAATGAAGTGACTGAGACAGTAGGTAAGGAGAGCTCCGAAAAAGGCGCCGGCGACGAAGAGAGAGACGATGTTCTCGCTGATCACGTGTCTCTCGGCGGTAGATTTGTTGGTGAGGTTGAACTCGGACTTGAAAGAGTCGAGACCGATTGTCGTGCCAATGAAGGCGCTCGTGTAGCCAATCATGCAGGATCCACATGACGCGATGCCGGCCAGCACGTAGATGCGCCAGTTGTAGACCGAGGGCGGCGTCGGCCTCTCTTCGACGATGGTGAGAAGACCCATTGTGTGTTGGTCTACTACAACAGCTCAGATAAGTTGTGTAAGTGAGTTGTCGATGAGATGTGTGTTCTTCGAGAAAGGGTGTTCTCGAGGATGAAGAGAGAAGCGACGAAAAATTTTGAGACCGTAACTGCGGTCGTGATCCATAAGTATGTCTATCGAAGCGGAGCCTCCCCATAAACCCCCATAATCCGTATCTCCCTCACAGACCCATACTCTGGGGGAAACAATCTGGGGCTTGCAGCTGACGACTGGAGTAAATCTGTCATCTGAGAGGATGCGTACGTCAAAATCTCACTCGGTACTTTGCAGTATTCTGCAGTATCTGGCTGGATGCAGTGGTTCTCCGTCACATCCGTCTCCAGGTCCACCGAATATCAACGGGGTGCGTGACACTCTGGCCCGGGGTTGTGTTTTTCCCCGTGGAGACGAACACGGCCGGGGACAGCGAATAAGCAGCATTGTATATCTCGGACGGATGTCCTCCCCCGTGGGCCCCCTCCTCTCCTCTGCTTTGTCCAGGAATTCGAGCTCCCTGATTGACACATTTGCATTAGCTACACATTTCGCATGTCCCTCCAGGCTCCGGGCAAGGGCCGATGGGCGGACCCTGCTTTTGGAAGTTCCGATTGCGGCTCTGGGTAAGCTAATAACCCCCGAGGGGCCAAGCCAACCGACGGGCCGAATGCCAATTCCGTAGGCTGCATATGCAGAGACGAGGATCCCCAAGTCTGATGAGGGCAATGGACTCTTCCGGGGTGATTGTGTTGAGTTATGTAAGCGCCTTCACTCATTGGCGGCAATACGCTCACCCGTCGAGTAAACTTTTCTGGTTGTGGACGGGTTGGATAGCGGATTATGCAGAGGAGGCAAAGTTGCTTGACTCGGCGGTTGAGGTGTATGATGTCAACTGTGTCTGTGCATTTCAAATGCCGCCGTAAACCCGATAGAATGACGAGCCCCGTTAGCGTATTCATTCTTCCTCCCCTGGTCGTGAAACCTGAGCACTTGGACTGGCAAAAAACACTCATCAACAGGATGCTGGACGCTCCCAGTTCTTCTCGAGATTTCCTGTCTTGTTCGCCCTTCTCATGTGTGTATTGTCTTCCTTGATCTTTGAAAGGATGATAACCAGAGCGAAGCGAAGGCGAGAGGACGTTGAGTTCCTGGGCGAAGATCGAAACGATTGTCTTTTGCCTGAATGCTTCCCGAAACTTTAATAGATCTGCTGAGGCTCTTTGCCCCTTGGCGCGTGAGATGGCTTGCCAAGGCCCGGCAACCGTCGCCCTAGAGTCTCGGCCACCGTTCTTGGCGAGGCCCTTAGCCTTGAAAAATTGAGCCTCCCGCCTGGGCACCTCTTGGTAACCGTTATCTTTCCATATTAAGGCCAAGAAACAGAATTTTCTTGACCCCTGATGGCGATATCGCCGCTTGAACACTGAGTTGTTTTGTACCCCGCGCTGAGGCGGAACTCGCTGCAATGAATTTTGCAGTATGAGGGACTTTCAAAGTAGGAGAATTGCTCGACTTCACGGGATTGAGTGGTTCACCGGTTGTCAATGCGTTGACCTGCGGGCTGCACCGGGCATTTTGCGCTTGGCGTGTTGAGGTAAAGGGAGAAGAATCTTTTCCGAAATCTGGGTAGAGCGGAAGAACGAATCGATCTCTCACAGCTGTTGAGTAAAGCTGTTGAGACCTGTGACAATGTCCATCATCCCTTCGAATGTATGATTCTCGTCGCAAGAAGCTGCAAGCGCTAGTTTTCGTACAGCTTGGTGTCGCATCGCCAAGAGTGCCAAGGCCTATTCTGGTATTCATTCTTCAGAGCCGCAATTCCAAGTCCGCCACACCCCATTGGCTCATTTCGTTCTTTGCGAGGAGCACATACGGACATTGTTCCGTGGAATACCCCGAGTGAACTTACGCGGAGTTTGTTCTTGCGGAACAGTCAAGTAGTTCCGAGATCGGTCATGGATCAAATCGCACGTGGGATGGATGAATGACTGTGCAAAGCGTGCATGGCATACCAACGGCAGTTGGCATGTTGCGCATTTGCACAGCCGAGATTTTCAAGGCGGAGAAATACGAAGAAAGCGGCCACTAAGGCATTGGATTCCTATCAGGGCCATGTCTGTGCTAGTTTGTGCCTGGGACTTGGCTGGCCGCTCTCCCCTTCTGCTCCTTTGCATCCGGGGAGTGAGAGGGACTGGTCAACTTTCAAGAGTTGCTCAGTGATTACAACATTTGGCAGGGGATAATCCAACGTCCTGCACCCACGAATTGGCTGCACAGCGCAATCCTTGCTTCCTTCTAATTTCTTAAAGCGAAAGAAGCTCGGAAATGCCGCGGGCTCGGGAGAACGTAGGTTCTCGCCCCTGACTGAGACATGTTGGCTCACCCGCTGTATCCACTGCATTCTTATGAGTTGATGCAATAGGCGAGCTAAAAATTCACAATGCTTCCAACTTCTAGCTACTACCATGGTTGATTATTTATGCATCGGA